GCCTTTTTTTTTTCTTTTTTTTTTTTTTTTTTTTTTCTTTCACCGAACTTAGTTCCCGGTCCTGCTCCCGGGTTATTTGTGAGCCACACATCCCCTCGGAACCGTTGCGTTGCAATTAACCTCAGGCTTTTCTTTTCGACTACAGAAACTCTCACTTGAGGAGCTGCTGCGGCCATCGCTGCCCCGGGCAGAAGGTAGGTCAGCACACTGGCCCTCCACCGTGTCAGGGACGTGAGTCTTCTCCTGTCTGCAGCTGCTTTGCCTCTTGCTTCGTTTTTAAGCCCCTGGAAAGAGGGAGACATCATGGGACATGTTCAGTGATTCCGTTTTACTGTCAAAACGTTTGTTTTTAAGCTTGATCTAGAGCCATGATGCCGTCTTTGAGCTAGAGCCATAACAGCTTTTTGGCACAGGGATATGTGCCTTTTTTTTTTTTCCAATGTGCTCCTAGCACACCTATCCCATCCAGACAGCACCTGAGCGCCTGGGCCCTGGGCTCAGCTCCCTGTCCTTGCTTTCCAGGGCTTGGGACAGCAGCAGGAAGCACTTTGGACACTGCACCTTGGTTTTGTTGTTTTTTTCCTTATTGCAAGGCCAGGAATTGCCTATGTTCCCATTATCACACAATCGCATATAGGAGACTGGAGTCCTCGTGGAAACAAATTAAGATCCAAAATTATTTGCAACATATCTTTTAATGTAAAATATTTCATTTAAATATGTTATTCAGCCTCTGATATTATTCCTGATAGTGCAGGGGGATCTTTAAGCAGTGCATGAGTACCTTGGTGGAGGCCTAAGCGGAAGGCTCTCCTGCACCCCAGGGAAGACCAGTCCTTCCCACCACAAGAGATCAGCATATCTAATGCTGTTGTGCAGCTCTGCCCCTAATTATGGTTCTGGGTCTTATTTTTGTGGTTTCATGTCTAAAGCTGAAAAGACTGCTTAGTAAAACAAGCTTATCTACACTCCAGGGGATAATAGTTATTTATATTAATAATGGAGCTTATTTGCTATTTCAGCTCCTTTGATTTTTTTTTGACTTTCCATCTCTTCCATCTTTCCTGAACTATGTAAATATACCTTTTTTTTTTTTGTATTCTTCTTGCTCCCACACACTACTCAAATCTATGTGTTCAATCTTTCAATACACTTGGCCCACAGAAACTCCATAAAACCTCAGGCCTTTTTAGCCACAAACTCTGCTTTTTCTTCCAAAGTGGGGGAGGGAGCACCCCAGGCACAGATGATGGATAAAGCATTCCACAAAGCTTGCTTCCTAGGGGTGGACTCAACCTCTTTCCGCCGCTCCTGCAACTCACCATAGACCCCTCGAGTCAGAATTGCGGCACGCACCCGGGCCCTTCCCTCGTTAGCAGCGCCTGTAGCCTGGGGAAGTATTCCCAGTGGTGCTGCTCAGTGTGGTCTCCTTTCCACTAACAGCTGCACTGGAGATCTCAGAGAGGAAGATGAAGAAAAGGGTCATGTAAGTAACAACAGTGACTCAGAAGACCCCACAGGAGTTCATTAGACAGGGTGATAGGGTCTCTTTCACCTCTACGGCAGGCAGCAAAGCATAGCGTGAGGGAAAGGGCCTTGAAAGTCATCCTAACATATACATATGCTCTCCTAGGCAAAGAAAAAAAAAAAGGTTTTTTTGATTGGTAGCCTGATTGGATGCCAGGTCTGGAAGCTGGAACCCATCCACCTCCTCCTCCTCCCACCCAGAGACCACACAGGGGCTGACTATAGTTCTACAGAGGAGGTGAGCCTAGAGGGGGAAAGTTCACAGAAATGAACACTCATCTCATACTTTCCACAGTTACCTTGGCTCTGAGGACATCTTACTGCTTGCTACTGCTGAAGTACTTTTGAGAGAGCAGGGGTTTATTTCACTCTCTGTCAAGTTGTTAGGATACTTTGCTCGCTGGAGGTTGAGTTGTTCATAGGTTCATGCTCTACTTCTAAAGACTAACAAAAGGTCATACAGTGAAGAAAATCTAGAGCACAAATTTTGTTACAGAAATCCTAGTGCGTTTTTTTTTTCAGAAACATTATTCACATGCTAATATAAATTAACATAGCAAAACACACACACACAACTGTTCATTTGTATTATCTATCCATGACATCCAGACTAGCAAGCTGTGTATGCTTGACTGTAAAATGCTATATTACTCCTGCTTCATTTTCCTTGAAAATTATCTTTACCAAACATATTGTTATGCCAAAGTCTACTGTCTGACCTTGCACCACTAAAAACAGTTAATCTCAGAAGCAAAGAAATACTTGTTTATCCTTTTAGAATATTTATACTTTCCTTCATTAAGAACTTGTTCCAGAATCCTTTGAAGTCAAAGGGAGGGTTTCAACAGGCTTTGGATCAAGGCCTGCAATGGATCAATTAAACTTTAAATAACACAAGCACAAAAACATGTCCAGCCTGAGAGTATTGTTGAATAGAAATATTTAAGAGAGGCTGCTTTCAGAGTAAAGGGTCAGTGCTCGTTCTTTAGATGAATTTGTGGAATTTTCTATGATTAAAAATAATCCCTTGCATGAAAGTTGTGATTTCTTCTCAGTCTTAAAAACATCCACACTTTGCTGCATGCTATTGTCTTAAAATATGTTGTCCTAGTAAATACAGAGATAATTCGAGTTCAATGGTACATTGAGCTCAATGTACCTGCAGCCTGGGCCCTAAACAGTAAAATATGACCTAGATTATCACAGTCAGAGCAGAGTCTTCATTCCAAAATATTTGCCTGACTCTAAACTTTATCTAATTTTATGTCTTAGTTCATATTCAAGCTGCCTGTGAGGTTTTCTAATGTCTGAACTAATATTATTCTTTGGTATTATACACTTTGCAAATTGGCTAGTAAAGCTCACAGAAGATGTTGCAATTAATTAAAAAGCAAAGGATGTGCAGTGAAATATAACAAAGACTTCTTATGGAACTATGGTGTTTATACCTTGAGTTCATAAGCCTGCAACAATATACTGTGGTCAACAATATGCCTTTTAAAAGAAGAAGGAAAATTTAGAAGCAAACTCCAAGCTCACAGTATTTACTGCACTACATCCCGTTAGTGAATGTATCAGATGTTTGCTTACTTTGAATGAAGTAACCCTTTTGGAATTTTTGCTGAATGGGGATTATTTGACGCAAGACAGTAAAATGGTCGTCATTCCTTTCAGAGAGATATAAGCTTGATCAATTATATTGCAGTGGCTTACAGCCATACAGCCATCTACAGTGACATTTATGATCGATTTTGGTTATCCCCAAATGGCCTTCAACCTAGTTATTATCAGCCAACATGTTGAACTTTTGGTCAGTGGAAATCCTTTAGTGTCTTGGAAAGACTCATTATGTTGTCTTTTGGCCAGATTCCATTATGGGTAACTACAACTTTATCTACATCCAATGTATGTAATTGAGTGACTGTGGTATGGCACAGTGTCATTTGGCTTAATTTCAATCAGCTAAGATAATTTTCTATATTTTCTTTCCTGTAACACTGTGTTAGTTGCTGTACAAAGTGAAACAGCTGCACATTCTCATTGCTGGAGCAGCACCCAGACTGGGCTGTCTCTTGCAAGAGGACAACGTAGCTTCCTTTTTGGCAGGTAGAATTTTGTAACACCAAATCCTTCCATCTGTGGTTTCATGTCATCAGTTCATTGCAGGAACTAATTATCTGGTCTAGATGTCAAACTATCTGATTTGTTAGTGTAGCTGGCAGGTTAACTGTCTAAGCCTTAACATTTCCACACAGAATTCACCATGAGTAGAAAGTTTCGTCCAAAAAAAAAAAAATCCATGTTTTAAGATTCGGTACTCAGTTGGGAAATCAAGTTCTTAATGCTAAATCAGATGTATAATGAAGAAGGAGGTGTTTCATAATTACTCTCATGAAGGATACAGGGCCAACCCAAAAGCATGCAAAGAGGAGCGAAAATGGCACTAGAGTCACTCAGACAGTGCTGCAAGGAGTAGCTCTTCCTGCTCTCACAGACCTAGTGTAGATCAAGAGCAAGCTATACAGCTGTAAGTAGGTAGATGAGGATGCTTTTTCATTCCTCCATGGGAGCTATTGTATTTCTGCATACATACCCCATGCATACATTTAGGGAAAAAAAAATCCACTGCTCCCTGTCAGAGAGGTTGTTGAAACATAGACAAAAAGTCAACTTTGAACTTTGCAAAAGAGCATTGAAAATGGTATGTGAAATCCACATTGCATTAGATGCTACTGCAAGGATATTAAAACTGACGGGGATGCATTAGCAGCCCTGCAGTAGCACGCAGCACGGCAAGTGAAGTGTAGCAACATCCCAGGTGCAATACAGATACAGGAGAGCAGTGACATACAGGCAGTGGCAACATTATGCACACACTAGAGAGAGTCCACAGCAGATGCAAATCTCTTTTTTTCCCCTCTTACATCTCTGATTAGGAAACCTCTACTGTGCAACCGATGTTTCCACTTGGCTACTGCACAACGAAACTTTACCTTTCTTCCAGCAGACTTCCCAGCATTTGAATATGTGTCAAAGGCTGTTTCCTCTTTCCATCCCTATGAGCACACTGAATCTTCGGAATAAAATCGGGTGTTTGTGTGGGTATGGAAAAACTTCATTAGACCCTCCCAATAAATAATTCTAATGAACCATATCTTTGGAAGAACTGTCTTTTGGGAAGGAAAGTAGACTTGAAAGAAACTTCACAAGAGCTTCTGACTTTCTGCTCCATTCTTTACAACGTATTAATTTTCAGTTTGGAGGTAGAAAACACTGACTCCATAGTCCAAAATCCTCCCCAGTCAGGGAACTGGCTTATGCATTTGATCCACCAAAGGATTTTGACAATGGGACACTGAAGATTCATGCTTTTCCACTTTCAAAGAGAACATGATGAATGTCTAACTTTTTGGAAATGGCATGCATCCAAATTTAATACCTTTATGCTGGTAAAGGTGTTTTCAGCAGCAAGACTTGAACTGCCTTTTCCATCTAATGTGGTTTATTAGTTCAAGTCGCAGTTATCAATCCTTTTGTGAAAGGTCCATTTGCTCATGATTAAAATTTGGGTTCTACGTGTCAAGGAGGTGGCACCTGATGAGGATCTAACCTATGAGTTTAATCATATTTGGCAGCATGCAAGATATCTGTGAAGAAAATTTAAACTGGCTCAGATGTAGGATGAAATGAATTCCATGCGTCTTCAAGTAGGGCAGGGTAAGATCTCAGCCCTTCAATTCACAGTCTCTCAATCATCTTTTTCTTTCTTTTCCAT